TTGCTGGTTTTCAGCAATTTTATTATGATGTTCTTTGTTTTGCTTTGTCTTTCAGTGTTTATTCTGCTTGAGGCTTGTTAAGTTTCTTGAGTCTGTATATTTATGCTTTCCATTAATCATGAAAAAATTTGACCATTTTAAAAATACTTTTCCAGTCCCTTCTCCTCCCTGTTTCCCTAGCAATACAAATTGCATGTATGTTAGATCACTTGCTATTGTTCCCTGGGTCGCTGAGGCTATGCTCATTTTTATCAATCCTTTTTCTCTGTATGCTTCATTTTGGATAATTTCTATTGCTCAGTTAACCAGTATTTCTTTTTATAATGTCTAATATAGGATATTTTAATTTCAGATATTATATTTTTATCTCTAGAAGTTCCATTTGAGTTTTCCTTGTATCTTTCCTTTCTGTCCTGATTTTGTTCATGCTTTGCTGTATACTCTAGAATATATTACTAATAATTGTTTCAAGGTCTTCTTGTGCTAGTTATATATCATTTATGTTATTTCTTTGTTTATTTTTATTAATCTATTTTTAAAAAATGATGGTTATGGGTAATTTTCATTTTTTAAACGCTTGGTAATTTTTTGCATGTTTGACGTTTTGAATTTTATATCACTGTGTGCTGAATCTTACTATATCCTTTAATGAGCATTGAATTGTGTTCTAGAATTGGTGAGTTCTTTTGTGGCTCACTTTGGTCATTTTAAGCATTAACATGATAGATTAGGAGTAGCTTCTAGCCTAGGGGTTAATTTAGTTCCATTACCAAGGTAGGACTTGCCTGAGGATTCTGTCAAATGTATTGTGTATTACGGGGTCTCTCTACTCTGGCTGGTGGAAACACAAAGAATAATAGCTCCAGGAATTGCCTAGCTACTGCCTGCCAGTGGTTATTTCTTCAACTTTCAGTCATTTTCTCTCATTCCTGCCAAGATCAGTACTCAGAATAAGATTGAGGCTACCTTGTAGATTCCCTAAACTCTGTCTGTCCCTTTGTCTCTGTACTCCTTCTTCTCCGTGATTCTGCCGTACAACTTCTAGCTACCTCGACATCCCCAAACTCTGATATATTTTTACTTCAACAACACTTCTAGGTTCTGTTTGCTTTTTCTTCAGGCACTACCTCTTAGTAGCCACCGTCCTGTGATCTGTGTTGCCTAATGCTTGAAAAGACTTTTTTTCATGTGTTTGCCCAGTTTTCCAGTTTTTTAGAGCAGGAAGTAATCCTTCTAGCAGTTAATTCTTCATGGGTGGAAGTAGGCATTCTACCAACTGCAAAATAACTTGTTAAAGACAGTAGTCATACGATAGTTTTTGATGGCCACAAGTAATGTATGAAAGAGTTGAGGAGGTTCTGAGGAAAGGTACATGAATTCTGAGAGCTAGATAACTGTAAGAGACCATCGTGTGTTTGGGAACCATGTTAGCTAACGCAACATCTATTTTCCTGGACCAAATTGCTGGGAAGGTTTCTGTAATCTCTCAAGTAAACTGCAAGCATTACCATACATGGCCTTGGATCTGCTACTGTCCCTAACAGTCATCTTATCCCTGGAGACCTTGTATATAGGGAAGTGGGGCAGGGAGATGTTGCTTTTGGAGGGACCTGGCAGACCTTTCTCCTTGAGCCTTAGATTCTATATCTATTTTTTGGTCCAGTACTTCACCATTATCTTCTGACTACTCTCTACCCAGTTTCACAGTCACTCAACACTTTGTTAAACTATTCGACTCTGTCCCCTCAATGACTGAGCCCTTCACTGTTCATCAGCTCCTCATGTGCAAGCTTATGTGAATGTGTGCCAACTTTGAACATGTATATCTGCTCCATAGGGAAGCTTAATATCATGGTATACATAAAGTTCCTATACTGCGTATCCAGGGACTGAAGTGGAATGGGGGTGCTCACATTCAAAGTTCCATGCCCATGAATTCAGCCCATTCAAAGGGACATTTCAGATGTCCTCAGAAATGTATCCCAGATCAGAGCATTGCATCTCCCAGAAATTTAGAGAACAACCCCATCATGTTCACACAATTGCTCAAAGATAATTTTAGCATAATACTGTCAGCCCTTCTGAAACTTGGTGTTAACCAGGGTTTCTCAAATTTAGTGCTATTGGCATTTGGGGATGGATAGTTCTTTGTTGTCTGGACCATTCTATGAATGTAGGATGTTAAGCAGCACTCCTGCCTCTATCTCCTCCTATATGTCAGTAACACTCTCCTCCCAGCTTTGACAACTGCAGATGTCTCCAGACATTGACAAATATCCCCTAAAGGTGCAAGATAGCCCTAGTTGAGAACCACTGTTATAGATACTATGATGTCCCCCACTCCAGGGAACCCACAGAAGGATAACTCTGGAAACCAAACCTAGATAAACCCAACAGGCCAGTGGTATCTTGGAAGAGGTCAGTCTGGAGTGTCTGCTCCATGTACAGTATGTACTAGGAGGACATTGACCTTAGAATGCAAACTCCTAGATCCAAGTCTTGCCTCTGAAGATTTGGAGCAATGTTCTCCACTTCTCTGCTCTTCTATTTCCTTATTTGAAAATGAGGAATAATATTTACATCACACAAGACTGCAGTAATGAGAACAAAGTGAGGCTCATGTATACATACACACACCCATACATAACAATATGCTTCTTGCATAGGACAGAAGGATGCATACACATGGACTTAAAATGGTTCAAAAATAAGTAAACTGAATTTTCCAGTATGGTTAAAAGGGCAATATTTAAAAAATACATCTGCCAATCCATCACGTAGTATAGTTCTCCCTATAATTAATGATTTTGATCTATGCTATATGGCTCAATAGGGGATGTCTAATTAAAAACAAAAAGAGTGCCTTTTCAGTAATTAGGTTTAACCTGAATTAGAATTCAAGTAGCCAGATTTTTATATATGCTTCTTATTTTTGCATTCAATAATCTGACCAGATTGCACAAGAATTTAAATGTCTTGATGGGAGACAGTGGTTTTAGTTCTTTGGGGATTGTATTGTAATGAACCTGGTAAATAATTCAGGAACATATTAGAGACCAGTGAATGGGTAGCACCTGGTGCAATATCATTCATGCCTGTACCCACAGCATACAAAAACAGCATTCTACACCTGTCACTATTGTTCTGGCCTAAACATAGGTCCTAGGTTTTGAAGATATTGAAATAGTAATTAATACTTTTGTCTAGTTTTCCTTCATGATCATATAATACTGTGCTAAGCTGTTTCAACAATACCAAGCAGAAATGTGCATTCTCATAAATTCCCTTGTCAAAATTTCAATAGATTTTTCTCTGTTAAGGAATGAATCGCTTTAAAGAATTAGGGCTATATGAGGGAGATGGACATGGGAGGATTGCAGTTCAAGACCAGCCTGGGCAATCATAACTTTAGTGAGACCTTATCCTTAAAAAAAAAAACATGCTGCGGATGGTGGTACACATCTGTAATGCCAGCTTCAATAAGAGGCAAAGATAGGAGGATCACAGTCCAAGGCCAGCCCCAGGCAAAAATTGAGACCCTATCTGAAAAATAGCTGAAGCAAAAAGGGCTGAGGTTGTGGTTCAAGTGGCAGAGTGTCTGTCAACAAGCACAAGATTGAGTTCAAACTCCAGTACTGAAAGAAAAAAAAAAGGAATATGTCCACTTCTTCTACTGGCGTTATTTTAAGCTTGTTTGGCATTCTGCCTTTGCTCTGTAAAGTTAAACTTTTCTTTTCTTTTCTTTCCTCCTTTCCTTCTTGCCTTCCCGCTTTCTTACCTCCCTTCTTTTTTTATTTTTTTGAGACAGGGTCTCATGATGTAGCCCAGGCTGGCCTCAAACTCTGTTTTGGTTCCTTTCTTTATTTCTTTGGCAGTACTGGGGTTTGAATTCAGGTCTTCACATTTGCTAGGCAGGTGCTCTACCATTTGAGCCACTCCTCCAGCCCCTGGCCTCAAACAGGGACTACAGGTGTGCACCACCACAGCCCACTAGAACTTCTTTTTCAATCACAGTATTTATATTTTAAGCATCTTCTGAGAGAAACATCATCCTCAGGCAGCTTCTCAGATTCTCCCCCTCTTACCTGACTAGCCTGCCTCACCTCATTGAGCCTGACAGTTTAAAAGCAAACAAGCGCTCTGAGCAACCCCAACTGACTGGACATAGAATTCTTCTACACCCTGAGGGACAAGAGCTACAGTGGCCTGTATGGACAGCATGAGTCGCTGAGTCCAGCACCACCCAGGATCAGGCAAAGGGTTAGCTAGGAGACAGAAAGACCCTGGAAGAAGGGGGGCTTCCTGGAGGGGAAACTGAAAGTGTGCCTTGTAAGTCTAAAGTGGAATTTTCATAGCACTGGGCAATAAGAAGGATCTAAGAGAGACTGCAGAGCTTTTCACGTAGAAATTGTTAGATATTGCTTATTATAATGGCGTAAATATATCAATATATTTAATATTTTAAACCTTTGCAATATGTAATAACAGAATATATAATTATACAATATATGTATTATATGATTACATAATGCAATTTAACTGCATGCACATGTGTGTGTGTATGTGTGTGTGTGCGTGTGTGTGTGTGTGTGTGTGTGTGTGTGTGTGTTAATAGATCAAAAGATCAAATTCCTTTCCTTCCATTAGGGCCCAGTGTGAAAGCAATTGGAGCAGTGACTGCCCTCTGGTGGTGATCCAGAATCATCACTTTGTATAACCTAAGGGTTTCTAAGATGCCCACTCTTGATCACAAGGTATACACTGGCAGCAGGGGACCAGTTGAAGGATGTCTGATGTTGGAGTTTGACTGATAATGGAGGCTGACAAATGAACCCTTCGCTTCCACCTGAATTGGTTGTTTAGCCTGGATTCTGAACCAGGAGCCAGCTCTACAATGGGGCCTCTGAAGAAAAGACTGTTGCTGCTGTGTTGTAGTCAAAGGTCTGCATCCTTACCAGCGGGTAACCAAGACTGTGAATAAGTGCACACTGAGCGGGCATGTGGTGACATGGAGACTGAAATAAACTGCTCTGAATTTTGTGATAGTTTTCCTGGCCAGGAACTGGATCAGAGACCCATTCATGATCTCTGCAGGACAACAATTGTAAGTGAGCAGCCATGGGGCATTAGTGGTGGGGAGGGGAGTGGTAGTGAAGGAGGAAGAAGGAGAGGAGGAGAAAGAGGAACTTCTCATGTGGACATGTATTTCCCAGCCTTGGTGCTGTCTATAGGAGATCCTTTATATCTAACAGCTCTTTATTCTTCCTCAGACCTCTTCCCAGCACAGCAGTCCATCCATCTCATTATCTCCTGCCCTCTTGGGTGTTGTTTGGACTTTTCTCAGCTGTGGACTACTTCTGATGCTCTTCTTTCTTGCCTTCACAGTTCGCTGCAGGAAAAACAGGTAAGCAGCCCCATGCCCAGCTTCTCATCCCCTGTAGCCAGAACTGAGAAATCCAGAGGGCTAGCATTATTTGGCATTACAAATAGCTAGCTAGTATCAGCAAAGCTTTCCTCCCACTGTGGCACTGTGCTATGTGTGAAGATCTGGCCAAAACACTCCTGGCCTTGCAGTATAATTCCTTTAGGGAAGAGAAAGATACAGCCCAGTGCTGTGCTTAATTACTACATGGTAACCAAGGAAGAAAATGAAGTCTTTCAGCAAAGGAGAGTACATCCTTCTGAGAAGATGAAGTATTTGTATTAAAAACAGATTCCATGTAAAGAAAATGTCCAAAATAGCATAAAAGTTTGTTAGTCAGTTTGGGTGGGTCAAGGTTTCCACAGAAACTAGCTTTACTGCCTGGCTATTCTGCTAGATGATTCTAGCAAACTTGAAGTCACTGGTACATCAGAGTAAGCACTTGTGGTTCCCAGGGAACCACAAAAGAAGCAAAATGGCAGCTTTTCTGAAAGAACTCTGAGAATTTTGCCTTTGCTGCTCTCCAAGCCTTCCCTCAGCTTCCATCCCATCTCTCCCATCCCTATGCTGTTGCATCCCCCACACACACATTACCAAGCTGTCTCCTGAGAAGCCCTGCTCCAGTCCTCTCTCTGGTCCACAACTGACTTCTGGCTGGAGCCTGCAGTCAGGATTCAGCCACTCCTCCAGAAAGGCCAAGCTCTTCCAGCCCCACTCCAGCCTTACACCTATGCGATCAAGTGGTTGTGCTCCATTGGCCATGGATTCGTCACTCAGATGAGGATCAGTCAGTTGTATTTGTCTAGCAGGCATCTGGGGAACCCTTGCCACTTTGGCATCAAGGACAGGGAATTGTAGCAGTGGCTAGTTTGGCTGGATGTACCTCAGCATCGCAATGACACATGGCACTGAGTACACTCCCAAGGCTGCCTTAGCCATTTTCATTCCGTTCCTCAAACATACTGAGCTTACTCCCATCTCAAGGCCTTTGTGCTTTCTGTCCCCTTTCTGTTCCCCAAGCCTGACAGTCTTCCCTAGAACTTCCCGTGACTAGTCCCTTCTTATCTTATAGATCTTAGCCTCAGTGTCACCTCTTTACAGAAGCTTTCTCTGACCGACCATCCTATGTAAAGTGACAGGATGGCCTACCTTACCCAATGGCCACCCAACTTCCTGTCTCATTCCATAGCCCATTGCTCTGTTTATTCTCTACATAGGGAGCATACCTGTCCAATAGTACCATATTTATTGAATTGTCTGTTTTGTCACTATCCCCTACTAGAGTGTGAGGTCTGTGATCACAGAGACCTTGTCTGCCATGCTCACCATGGTGCCTCCAGCATTTGGAACAGACTTTGGAGCATGACAGCTGTGCGGCAGCTATAATAGTGATCCTGGGAGGAAGTTTACTTGAATCCCAATGGTGGCCACTGCCAAGAAAATGAGTAGGAAAAGTCAAGCATTTCAATGTCAGAGAACCACAGAGTATGGCGTTTTCGGCTGCAACCCATGTCTATAGTGCAAACTAATACTCAAATGGCAAATAAGAAAAGGATATCATTGATTCACGTGTAATTCCCCTCCCCTCCTCCCCCCCCCTCCAGCTAACCAAGAGTTTAGAGCATTCCAGGGCAAGCTTTGTACAGTTAAAGAAGGCTTAAGCTAAGAACACGATGGCCTTGTCTTCCCTTAGTGCAGGTAATGGCCAGTTTAATGGGTTCAAGAACTGTGTCGTCCCTATCCACGAAGCTGTAGGAGTAGATGAGGAAGCAGAGGAAATGTGCCTTACGCTCAATCAGTAATCAATTGATTGTTGAAGAAAGCAGAAAAAATCCAAAGCATATTTTAAATTTTGGTGATAATGTTATCTATTAGAGATAAAGGCTCTGGCAACTACAGCTTGGGATTTAAGAATATTGAAGACAGTGGTAATCTTGGGCACAAGTGGTAATGGACATTTACTGAGTGCTAGTATTTTAATTATATAATCATTTATTAGTACTTTTGTTAAAAAGTTAAATATGAATTGAGTGTTAGTGCCCGTTGTATTTTTCTCTAGCTCATTATTTTTAAACCCAGTTTTGCAGAATGCAAGGGCTAGCAAGCGTTAATATATCTTGTTAAAACAGAACACCTGTAAATAGCATTAAAGTAGAAACACCTATACTTCTTTTATTCTACTAAAGATTTTTACTGCCTTGTTTGCAGTGGGAGATAACTTGGCACAAAGAATAAAATAATAACATGTGCTATGAATAAAAATACATTTTAAAATTAAGTGGCTTACAAGGTCAGACAGGGAAGATAAAGCAAACCATTTTCAAAAGTACTTCACTGCATAATAAAATTTGTCCAAAGGAGCAGCATCACAATCAGACGCCTCATTCCATTTCAGTTCTGTGGTCTCTTAAATTTGTGTTAAGAGACTTGTGTACTTGTGTGTGCCAGAGGAACAAAAAAATTTAATAAAAATAACACAATAATGTTTAAGTTCAGTTGCAGATACTATATATTTTAAAAATATTGTTAAATGTAGGCTACAACAGAAAATCAGTGAAATTTGAACAACTCTATAGACCAAGTTGACCTAATTGGCATTTAATATAACCCTTCACCTTACAGCAGACTACACCTTCTTTTCAAATGAATGTGGAACATTTACCAAGACAGATCACATTCTGAGCCATAGAAATAGTTTCATAAAATTTAAAAGAATTCAAGTCTTACAAAGTATGTTTTCTGAGCACAATGGAATTAAGTTGAAAATCAGTAACAGAAAGAGCTTTGGAGAATCCTAAAATAATCAGAAAATAAGTAGAATGCTTTAATATGACCCATGATCAAAGGAAAAATCAGAAGGAAAACTAATAACTATTTTGAATTGAATGAAAATGCAACATATCAAAATTTGTTGAATGCCTGCAAAGTAGTATTTAGGTGGAAATTTAGAGTACTAATCTCTATATTAGGAAAGAAAAAAGGTCTCAAATCAGTGACCTCACCTTCCACCGTACAAAGAGGAAAAAAAGGAGCAATTGAGTACTAAAGTAAGTAAAAGAAAGTTTAAAAAGGGAAACAAGTTTCAGGGGAAATTAATAAATTGGAAAACAAAATCAATAGAAAAAATCAGTGAGACCAAAAGCTGACTCTTTATGAAGATCAATAACATTGACCAACCTCTAGCCAAACTGATAAGAAAATGAGGGCAAGAGAGAAGATAGTGTGTTCATGGGTTGGAAGACACAGTATTGTTAAAATATCAGTTTTCCCCTAATTGATCTATAGACCCAACCCAATCACAGCCACATTCCCATCTTTGTTTAATTGAAAACCTAATTCCAAAATTCTTATGAAAATATGAAGAATCCAGAATAGCCAAAAAGCTTTAAAAAAGTTAAGTTACTGGAGTAGTACCACCTGATTTTAAGATGTATTACAAAACTATAGTAATGAAAATAGTTTGGTACTAGGCAAATTGAGACATGTCTAACAACAAGAAAGGAATACACTACAGAAATAAACCCATGTTCATGTGGTCAACTGATAGTCAACAAAAGCGCAAAGGCAATTTAGTGGAGAAAGAACAGTCTTCTCAAAATGAACTTTGATCCACACCATATTCAGAAATTAACTCAAAATGGACAATAGGCATAATTATAAAACCTAATACCATAAATTTTATTTAACAATAAGAGAAAATTTTTGTGACCTTGAAATAAGATTTCTTAGATTCAATATCAGAAGTGTTACTCATAAAAGAATATGTTGAAAAATTAGACCTCATAAACATTAAAAAAAAATCTCTTTCACAGGGAATTCTAAGAGGGTGAAAAAAAAGGCACGGTCTGAAATAAAATATTTGCTAATCGTGTATCTGATTAACTACTTATATACATGTGTTCAAGGGAAATGAAACTATGTCTATAGAAAGAGTTATACCTAGCAACTTTATTTTTAGTAGTTAAAAAACTGGAACTAGCACAGCTATCCATCAATAAACGAATAAGCAAATTGCTGTGTGTTCATACCATAGAGTACTACTGAGCAATAAAAGAATGAATTATTGATACTTGGAAGAATATGGATGAATCTCAAAATAATTATACTGAAATAAAGAAGCAAGGCAAAAAAAGAAAATTTAGATATAAGTAGATATGTTCATTACTTTGATTATGGTATCTTATGGGTATACACAGATCCCAAAATTATTAGATCATGTACTTTTAGAATGCTTGTATCTCACATTTTAGTAGCTTCATTGAGGTATTAAGACATGTTATACAAGCATTCTTTTTCTGAGAAATTTCTAATGGGGAGAAAGTATACCATATCTTGTATCCTTTGTAAAAGGGCTGTGCTAGGGATCCTAAAACCCATCTGGTAACTTTGCTAGATGTTAATAATTGATACAGGAGAATGTTTTCTTTTTTCCCAGATTCTTCATGCAGTTTAATAAGGACCATAATAACCTAACTATTGGAACACAGCAGGTATTTCAGGTCCAAAGGGAAGCTCTCCTGGTGCTTCTCCTGACATACACAAAATAGGGGTAATGTTGTAAGATCTGCATTAAGTTAAACTTGTCCAATAAAGTCTTTTATTCTGAGACCTTATTTCACTATCACTTGAGATGATGACTCTACATGGTACTTGCTAATGACATCTTGTTATAGCTTAAAATTAAAAATAGCATTCCCCTAATAATCTTCAGTATCTTGGATTTTACTATCTGAGAAATCAAGAAATTTGAGTAATAATAATTGTGTAGGATACGAATTTTTAACCCTTCTTGCAAACTAAAAAGTTAACTTATTACTGTTTCATGAATGTTAGCAAAAGACCCAAGACAAAGTACTTAAGAGTTCATTACAGCAGAAATAGTAGTAAGAGGCTTCAGGCCTCAGGAGGACAATGAAGAGCCCATGATGGGTGCTTGCACACATGATGCACTGCCATTCAAAGACAGGAGCCCTGAGCCTGGA